AAAATCCTTGCACCGGCCCTGGCTGGAGGGGCTGTGTGAGCTGTGGCTGCACAGTGTCCCATGGTAGTTAGGGTGCCGTGCGGCCAGTACAGCTCACACAAGCAAACAGCTGATAAACTGGCAGCACGGAGGAAATGTGTATGTGTGACTGTCTGCCTGTGACTGTGTGTGACTGTCTGCCTGTAACTGAGTGTGTGACTGTCTGCCTGTAAATGTGTGTGTGGGGCTGCAGGGATTTTGTAGAAGGGGGCGGGGTTTTGTATTGGGACAGGAGTCTTTATAAGGGGGGATAAGCAGGGGATTTGTGGAAGGGGGTTGCGGGGGTTTTGTAGACGGGCAGTACAGGATTTGTAGAAGGGGCAGGACAGAGGTTTTGTAGGAGGGGCGGGGCAGGACAAGGGTTTTGTAGGAGGGGCTGACAGCGGTTTTGCAAAGTTTACAAATTGTAAAAAAAAAAAGAAAGAAAACCTTTAACATTTTTTACAGTTTTTTTTTTGGGTTTGGGGGGGGGGGTGCCAAGCACAGGATCCGCCCCGGGTGCCAAATGCTCTAGTGGTATTGGCCTCTACCACTTCAGCTGGAAGGCTATTCCATGCATCCACTACCCTCTCAGTAAAGTAATACTTCCTGATATTATTTTTAAACATTTGTCCCTCTAATTTAAGACTATGTCCTCTTGTTGTGGTAGTTTTTCTTCTTTTAAATATAGTCTCCTCCTTTACTGTGTTGATTCCCTTTATATATTTAAATGCTTCTATCAAATCCCCCCTGTCTCGTCTTTCCTCCAAACTATACATGTTAAGATCCTTTAACCTTTCCTGGTAAGTTTTATCCCGCAATCCATGAACCAGTTTAGTAGCCGTTCTCTGAACCCTCTCTAAGGTATCAATATCCTTCTGAAGATACGGTCTCCAGTACTGTGTACAATACTCCAAGTGAGGTCTCACCAGTTTTCTGTACAATGGCATGAGCACTTCCCTCTTTCTACTGCTAATACCTCTCCCTATACAACCAAGCATTCTGATATCATTTCCTGCTGCTCTATTACATTGTCTGCCTACCTTTAAGTCATCAGAAATAATCACCCCTAAATCTCTTTCCTCAATTGTTGAGGTTAGGACTCTATCAAATATTCTGTACTCTGCCCTTGGGGTTTTACGTCCAAGATACATTATCTTGCACTTATCCACATTAAATGTCAGTTGCCACAATTCTGACCATTTTTCTAGTTTACCTAAATCATTTGCCATTTGGCTTATCCCTCCTGGAACATCAACCCTGTTACATATCTTAGTATTATCAGCAAAAAGACATACCTTACCATCAAGACCTTCTGCAATATCACTAATAAAAATATTAAAAAGAATGGGTCCAAGTACAGATCCCTGAGGTACCCCACTGGTGACAAGTCCAAGTTTCGAATATATTCCATTAACTACAACCCTCTGCCTTACCCATTCAACAATATTTGAATCCAAACTTAAAGATTGCAGTTTATTGATAAGCCTTCTATGTGCAACAGTGTCAAAAGCCTTACTGAAATCTAGGTTAGCAATGTCTAGTGCACCACCCAGATCTATAATTTTAGTTACCCAATCAAAAAAATCAATAAGATTAGTTTGGCATGATCTCCCTGAAGTAAACCCATGTTGTCTCTGATCTTGAAATCCATGTGTTTTTAGATGTTCAACAATCCTATCCTTTAACGTGGTTTCCATCACTTTCCCCACTACTGAAGTAAGGCTTACTGGCCTATAGTTGCCCGACTCCTCCCTAGAATGGGTCCAAGTAGAGATCCCTGAGGTACCCCACTGGTGACATTTCAGATGGAAGGGTTTTTTTTCCCCCAAATATTCTTTTATTGACTTTTTCAAATATTTTACATAAATTCCACAAACCATTTTAGGCTTATACATCAGAGTCCATTAGTATATTAGATAATAGCTGTTGGATTTCTGCACTTTTAGACAATAAGGGTGATGTCTCACCCAACTCAGGGCCCTTCACCTTGTCTGCTCACACCAAGACAACCAGAAACCACACAAACCTCATCCATATACCCTGCAGTTTATCCTCCTTTACCAAAATTCAGTGTGCACTTCGGAATGCCCGTTCAATCTGTAGTAATATTAAATCAACAACTATACATGACCTTGTCATCTCTAATTCACTCACATTATTGGCACTCACTGAGACCTGGCTGTCCCCCTCTGATACCGCTACTCCTGCTTCTTTATGTTTCGGTGGACTACAATTCTCCCACACTCCCAGACTCGACGGTAAAGGAGGCAGTGTAAGCATCCTTCTCTCCCCTCAATGTACCTTTCAACCTATCCTCCCTGCCTCTGCCCTTTTCTTTACTTCCTTTGAAGTTCACACTGTTCGCCTTTTTAAGCCAACTCCTTTAAGAATGTTCATCATCTATCATCCCCCCCGGACATCCTAGGCTATTCATTGAACAATTTTCTTCCTGGCTACCCCACTTTCTATCCTCTAGCCCTCCCTCCCTCATACTTGGGGACTTTAACATCCCAATCAATAACCTCAACTGCCCTGATGCCTCGCGCCTGCTCTCTGTAACCTCCTCCTTTGGCATCACGCAGTTGTCAACTTCAGCAACTCATGCAGCAGGAAACACTCTTGACCTCATCTTCACCAATCTCTGTACCACCTCTAATCTCTCCACTGTTCCATTTTCTTTGTCTGACCACCATCTACTAACATTTGACATCAGCATACCCCATACCAAAATTTCACCACCCTCAACTCTCCAAGCTCACAGAAACCTCAACTGCCTTGATCTCCAGCAGTTCTCCACCAAACTCAAGACTCTCCTTTTACCCATCTCAAATCTAACTTGCCCTAACTCCGCTAACTCACTCTACAACTCAACTCTCTCCTCTCAACTCCACATCATGGCACCTCCTACAATTAAACACAGCAAGCACCCCCAATTACAACCCTGGCACACCAAGCTGACCCGTTACCTCCAAAAATGTTCTAGAACTGCTGAATGCTGCTGGAGAAAGTCACACTTTGCATCTGACTTCCTCCACTATAAATTTATGCTGCACCCCTACAGCCTGGCTCTCTCCACTGCAAAAGTAAATTACTTTAACACCCTCATAAATACACTGTCCCATCATCCCAAACACCTATTTCACTCTTTTGATGCTCTTCTTCACCCTTTTAATCCCTCTCCTTCAACCACCTTATCCGTGGTTGAGAAGAGATTGCTAATTTCTCTCCTTCCCCTGCCATTACATTACCCAACCCCACTCCCTCCACCATTCTACACTCATTCGCACCTGCTACAGCAGAAGAGATTTCTGCTCTGCTCCGGTCCTCCCGCCCCACCACCTGTTCCCTCGATCCTATTCCTTCATATCTCTGTCTCCCTCTCTTGCTCTTCCCCGCACTAACATTTTCAATCTCTCCCTTTCCTCTGGCACATTTCCCTCACCCTTCAAACATGCAACTGTAACCCCAATTCTGAAAAAGCCCAGCCTTGACCCCAACTCCCCATCCCAAGTCTCTCTCGCTTGGACTACTGCAATACTCTTCTCAGTGGTCTTATGTGTTTCCAGATTGCACCGCTGCAATCTATAATGAATGCAGTGGCTAGGCTCATTTTCCTGTCCGCCGCACCTCTCACGCCTCCCCGCTCTGTCAGTCCCTGCATTGGCTTCCAGTTAGATATAGGGCTCAATTAAAAATTCTGGTGCTTGCTTACAAGTCCCTACATAATGCTGCTCCAACCTACCTATCCTCCCTAATACACAAGTATGTCCAGTCAAGGCCCCTACGCTCTGCCAAAGACCTACGTATATCTTCTGTCCGTACTTCCACCTCTAACGCTCGCCTCCAAGACTTTTCCAGGGCTGCACCTCTTCTGTGGAACTCCCTTCTCTTCTCAGTAAGAACTTCACCCAGTCTCCACTCATTCAGAAAGCATATCAATTAAACTGTTAGCAGGTTTTCATCCCCCAGCCTCCATGACTCCTCTCCTGTAACTGTCAAAAATTACCTACTAAGCCCTCAATTAATGCTTTTCTAACAACCTACTTCGTACCCCTACTTTTATCCTCTGTGTCACTATACCCCACTTCTTCTAGAATGTAAGCTCATGGAGCAGGCCCCTCCACCCCTTTGTTCCTGTACGTCCAGTTGTCTGGTTACAATTACATGTATGTTAGTCCACCCATTGTACAGCGCTACGGAATTTGATGGTGCTATATAAATAATAAAATAATAATAGTATAAATATAGCCTACAAGCAAATACCTTGACCTAACTCAGGAGTTATCTACTTATATCTCTCAAAAATTCAGTAATTTATGTATAAAACATTGTATACAACTTTTTGTTTTTGCGCAAGGTATACAATTTTTTTAATCCCCGTTTTAAAAAATGTTCAACCAAATATCAAAGATTTCGTTTTTTGTATTGCTGAGGGTTTGAATTAGAAAATTATTTTTCTATACAAAATTGGAATTTCAATTGATATACAGGAATACCGCACTTAATGCTTTCGATAGGTTCAGAACGCTAAGTGAAACAGCGCTAAATGGGGCAGTTTAACATGGGGAAGATAGGGATAGGGAAACGTCTGAAAAAAAGACACAACACAACAATAGAATTTTAAAACTTTTTTACTTGCTGTGAACTGCACACAGCAGCATAAATAAAAAGCAAAATAAACTAAGGGTTTTGCACCCAATAAATTAAAGAAACAGTACCAAATTAAAATAACAGTCCAAAAAAAATAAAAAATAAAGTTTAACTGGTGGATGTGGAGGCTCCAGGGTCAACCGCCTGCCTTGTTCTTTTGGCCACAAATTGGTCAAGGGTTATTTGTCTATGCTTCTTGCGGATATCCAGCAAATGGCGGTAGCAAGACACCCCTCCCAGCACAATGCACCTTGCATTCCTGCTCCTAGTTGCATCAGGATCATTGGCTACTAGCTCATCTATTATGTCATTGACCTGAGGCAATGCCCTGTTTAGGAGCTTAGAGGAAAGTTCTTTTGGAGGCTCAGTGTCCGAGTCACTGGTGTCCTGAGGTTCCTGTGTGCCCTGTTCAGCCAGTCCTTTAAGGTTCTCATTGTTGATGCTCTCACCTGAAGCCTGGACTAAATGCTCGATGTCCTGAGCATCTGTGTCTCCTAGACCAGCCGTGGTCACTAGGTCCACTATCTCCACTATAATGGGCTCTGGTAGTTGCACATCCTCACACAGCTCTGGCCAGATCTTTTTCCACACAGCCTTGAGGCCCTGCTGTGTCACCTCCTTCCAGGAAAGATCAATGTTGGAGACAGCCTTCATGATGTGGTACTGCTTCCAGAAGTCCAACATTGATTACTTGTCCTCTCGGTCCATGTGTTCAATCAGCTGATGGAATGTGCAGCAGAGATAGTAGGCCTTGAGGGTAGCAATCACCCCCTGGTCCATAGGCTGGATAAGTGACGTTGTGTAACTTGCTAATGCCCCTCATTGCCCTCAGTGTCTGGGAGTGGCACTCCAGCATTGGCTTTATACAGAAGTCACCGCTGGTGTTCCCACCCACAAGAGGTGTTAGCCTGTCTCTCGCCGCTTTAAAGCCCGGTGCACTCTTCTGCTGCTCCAGCTCATCATCTATCCAGATGGAAAGCCTCTTCTCCATCTCCTAAAGAGATTTGGACCAGGAGCGGGATATCTTCTTTGCCGAAGAAGCAGCGCTGGTCGTTGCTGAAGTGCGGATCTTATCCTTGTTTTGGAGGATAGTGTGGATGGCGGCGGTAAGCAAATGGATGTTTTCCCCCGATATCCACCTGGTGCTCTCCTTTATCCAGGCGGTCCAGCACTTGAATCTTGACATCCAGAGGAATACTCTGGTGCTCACCCCAGCTTGCTCCTCTTTGCACTCAGACATCTGTTAAATAGTATAAAAAATACAATGAATGTAGATTTTATTAGAAAAGTAACAATTAACACTTAACAATCACATAATGGAACACAATGGAACAATGACAATACGGTATTCTATATTGTACCTTACCAGCGGATGTTCTCTGCAGGATTTGGGGATCCCTGATAACAAACACTAGATGTGACTCTATCTGCATTACCCCCCAAAAAAAACAAAAAACATTTTATTAGACAATTAACAATTTAATAATTAGTAAACAATCACATTATTAAAAACAAGGGAACAAAGAAAGTATTCTGTGCCTTGCCAATGGATCTTCCAAGTTGGATTTTGCTGTCTCTCTCTCTCTCTGGTTCTCTGGTTTTTTCTCCCACAAAATGTTGCCCCTGTTAACGCTGTCACGCTAACGCTGTCACATTTTTTATAGCATTAAGCGGGGTCCCACAAGGAAAAAATAGCGAGGTTTAGCGCTCTGCGAGTACCAGACATAAAACAGCGCTATAGCGAATTAGTGCTATGCGGGATAACGTTAAACGGGGTATCCCTGAAAATAATATTTTTTTTTGCAAGGCAGTGTTACATTTCCAGTCCCTGGCAATCACAATTTTTGTTGCAATTAGACAGTGAATAGCCAGACATCTGTTTTCTTTTGAAAGTACATCTAATTTCAGATGTATTAGCACGGTCTAGGGGCACCATTTCACGTTTTCATTAGATAAGATCGTAAAATTGTCAAATGCCCACTTCCAGATTGTTGTGACTAATGGACATGATCACCAAATGTGTATAAAAGTACCCGCACGATCTCCACGTCTCCAACAATTCAAAATATAATTAGGATACATTTTGGCTAATCTAGATGGAACTAAATCCCACTTATATATAATTTTATCCTGGCATTCTATTAAATTGAGGCAGTGTATATTTTTATATAACGGTCGTAATAAAGAAGACCAATCAAATTCTGAAATTCCCAATCCTAACGCCTTATTCCAGGTATTTATTATTTTGAAGGTAATTTTTTTTTAACCTTATCATGGGAGAACATTTTTTCCATATGCTTATGAACTGTTGTTGAACTTTTTAATAAAGTAGTGTTTAAGAAATGTTTAATTCTCAAACGTGAATATTTCTTTGTTTATTTGGTACTTTGATATAATATCTGGGAAAGATTCTATTTGATAGTGCCGGGTGATATCCTCAAGAGTGATTTTGTTGACATTAGGCCAATTTTTTTAAAGATAAACCAATCGTGTTATCTTCTAAGGATGTTAAACGGCAGGTCTTTAAGATTTTAAATATTAAACCCAAATATTTCTTAATTTAATCCCATACCTGGATTATTTGAGTTAGTATAGTAGATTTGTTGTATATTCAATTCGTGAATTCTTCACCCCTATTACTACATAAAAAAAATATTCTTGTCTTTCTATGTTCACTGCCTCAGATTCTTTCAAATACCAAGGCTCAATTACCATTGTGTCTACTTGTAATTTATATATATGCCCGATCCTATCGACATAATATGTGTGTTTAATAACCGGATAATCTAGACCTCCCTTTTGATGTTTTTTTTTTACCAAGACCATTGCATTTATCCTAGGTTTTCTATCTTTCCATATGTATGTTACAAAACTGGCTTGGAGCATGTCTAGCCAGCTTTTAGGAATCTTAAGCAGTAACATCATGAGCAGGTAGGACCACTTAGGTATTATATAAGAATAAATGGTGTTAATCCTACCAAACAATGAAGATTCCACAGACCGCCAATCTTTTTAGGTCTTATTAGTGTACTTCAATAATTTTAGGACATTAACTTCCATCATCCTTTCCACCTTTGCAGGATTGTTATTCATAATTATTTTAATTCTTTCTTTGTCCAAATGAAATAAAATTTTTACTTGGATCTTCAATTATATCATTATCTATATTAATGGTTAGTGCGGTCATTTTAGACACATTTAATTTGTAGTTTGATATGGCACTATATTCTATTTCTTGCATTAAACATTTAAGGGAAGTTATGGCAATGTTAATGAGATCAAAATGTCATCAGCATATAAAGATATCTTGATGTCTTGTTCTTTGACACAGAAGCATTTTATCCCCTTATTCTCTCTGATATCTATTGCTAAAGGCTCGACCGACAAAATATACAGCAACGGAGACAGGGGACAACCCTGTCTTGTACCTTTTCGTAAGTTGAACCATCCTGCACATCTGTTGGCTCCTATAGTTCTAGCTGAAGGATTCAAATATAATGACATAGTTCAATGAATCCATCCCTCTAAGCCAAAAAATCTTAAAACATTATCTAGATAACCCCAACTGACCCGTCAAAGGCTTTTTTCTGCATCTAGTGACAGAGCCAGCAGGGGCCACCCTCTGCGACTATACTGATCAATATATCCAGAATTTTTCTTGTGCAATTCTGCTATTATAGAGGCATATATTTTAATATGTGTGTTTATTAAAGATATTGGTCTATAATTGCAGAAGATTTGCTTGCAATAACTCTTTTGGCATTTTTGAACTTATAGCTATTTCATTAAACAAGGAAGTCAGAGGCTGAATAAGTTCTGTTTTAAATGTTTTATAATAGAAATTACTAAATCCATCTTGACCAGGTGTTTTATACACATCTAATTTTTCTATTTCTCTCTCGACTTCATTAGATGTAAAATGAGCATGTGAAGATCTGTGTGACGGACCGCCTGCACCCAGGCCAGGTACCTCCGTTAATCGCTGCTTCCTAGTACTTGCGAGTACCATGAGAACTGCATTGGAGCACCATAACCACTGCAAACCCCACGAACCGCCGCAGGTTGGTTGGGGTCTCGCTGTCTTCTACCCACCCTGGACCTACGACAAAGCTCCAGGTTCCAGTGGGTGAACCTCTCTCGCTCCAGATAGTCAAGCAGGATTAGCTCTTACAAGAGCTTAGTGATTATACTCAGGGGAGTATAGTGATTATAGCAATCCCCCAGGGTGTAGTGCTTCAATCCCCCAAACATGAGCCGAAACCTCATGAAGGTGCAAGATGATCTGATCTTTAATGGTTCAGGTTGGCTTTTATACAATTCTCCAGGCCAGAGGAACACCCCCTGGACCTGATGGGGCACAGGAACACAAAGGACACAAACCAATCAGAAAAAAAATTAGGTCTTTGACACACCCATGTACAACGCACAATCCCTCCCCTCTGCTTGGTAGATAATTGAGTAAAGTCCTGTAAGTAACTCAATGATCTCCAGGCAGAAAAAACTAATTTTCATAAAGTTCAGAAAGTACCCTAAAACATAACATACACCCAAAAATGTTACATCCCTTTTGCTGGTCTGGGTGAACAAGATATCCAAAAATAACCCAGATCAGAGCAGGGGTTCAAAAGTTTAATGGAATTCTCTTTTTGACCGGCCACAAGCATGGCTTCATGCCCAAAACAGTTCCAGGGAATTAGGGTCAGCGGTCGGTATCTCTTTATGGAGTGCAAAAGTACTTACATTACATGAATGCAGCCTTTTAAAGTGTATTGGGCAAGGTATATTGCAGGGCCAATAGTCACAGGGTAGGAGGCAAGCAAACAGGCCCCTCCAAAAACCAGTGGCAAGGTCACTTTCGCCACAATCTGATTTTAAGATCTTATGAATATGCATTTGTTTTAGATATTTTTAAATTTTTTCCTAATCATGAGAGAGTCCAAGATTGTATAATTTATTGTAGAAATCATTGAATGTTTGACTAATTTTCTCTGGGGTTGAATAAGTTTCAGGTTCATCTATTAATTTGTCTTTTCTATTTTATTATTAACTTTTTTGTAGTTTTTTTTTTGTAAGGTTTTTACTTGCTCCATTTCCCGAATAATTATTTAATCTAAGTTTATTTAGAGTTGGATTAATTTTTTCTTCTAATTCTAAATTTATTTTATTTTGAATATCAATCAACATTTTTTATTTTGATTAGAATGTTTCTGTTTATTTAAATTTGATAGATTAAAGAATGATATATATATATATATATAGATCTGATAGGTCTTTATCTTTTTTTTCTATATATTTTTTTCATTTCTATTAAATAGCCTCTTATAACTGCCTTGTACGAACACCAAATTGTAGAATCAGATAGTTCAGGTGAAGTATTTTATTCCTAAAAAAAAATTGATAGCTTAATTAGTTAATCTTTATTTTTTTTCTATTTTGATTAATGCGTCATTTAATCTCCATTTGGATCTGCCCAAAATCGTCGGTTTGCCAAACTCTACTATAACAAAGCTGTTGTCTTTAATTTGAATTTTGTTTATATTACTAATAGAGTTTGATTTTACTAGACACTAGACATATCGATTCTTGAATATGAACCATGCACTTTTGACAGGTGAGTATAATGTTTTCCTTCTGGGTGCATGGTTCTCCAAGTG